GTGATAAATATTTTTGGCCATATCGCCCTGCTCTACTGTGGGCTTTGAAAGTGACTTAAGGTGTTTATGTGTTTGTGTTACAGGGAGGTGGATGAGAATCCAGACTATGACAACTTGGACATTGTCAACAGAGATGCAGAGGATAAATATTTTGATGACGATGATGACGAAGAAGAGGAAGAGGAGGAAGAAAATATGACAGAATAGTACTCGTGTTATTAATAAATGAATGAACTGTAAATATAAATGTACAAAACGAGTTTCCATTCTATTTTTTAGTTTGACATCTAAACACAAACAAAAGATGTAATAAACATGTTTTTGGGGTCTTTTGAAAATTTGTATAAATATGATTTTCTTGTTCAAAACTCAACAGAAACATGTATTTATTTAGGTTTAGATGTACGCGTGTCAGATTGCTTTGTATTGTGTGGATTGAAACGTGAGTGAGTCTTCAAAAGTTACAAATCATTGTACACATTTAAAAATCAGGACTGAAAATGAGTGACAAAGCAGCCAATGATGGCTGGAGAACTTTTGCTCAAGGCCACTTCAAAAAATTCAAGGAATGTATTCTTCTAATTACAATGCTGTTCCCTACAATGATTATTACAGGTTGGGCAAAGTCCAAAGAAAACAGTTTGACAACATCTGCACAATTTACCGATAAAAAGCATCAATGTTGTTTATTCAGAATTTCAAGAAGAAAATATCAGCTGTATGTGGAATTATTAAAACAAAGTAAAACACGGTGATCAGCAGTGTGAAAGGAAAACTGAGTATAGCAAAGACAAAGTACACTTTTATGATTTTGTTGCTTTTCTCAAAAGTAACAATTAACCAAAGAAAAATAACGCATGTCATTTGTGGACATACTGCAGCAATTTTTCAAATTCAGCTTTACAGAAGCATTAATCTTCATTTTTTAAGTTCTTTTATTATCAAAGTGTAACACTCTTCTTGTAATTTTAAGACCTTTAGTTGCATTTTTAGTTTCTCCCTCTTCAGTTGATCAAGATCCGTTGTATTCAAACCAGAGCTGACTGAGGGCCCAGGTGACAGAGCCTCTGACATGTGAGAGAAATTAATGCCGACAGAGGTTTGACTTGCTGGAGATGAGCTGTGGAAAAAAGTTAACTTTTAAGATTGTTTGACTAAATTAAAAATCTTTACCTAAATGATAGGACAGCTACATCTTACCTCCTCTCTGGCCTCGTGGATTGTAATGCAGCTACATTGTGGCCAGAGCAGTGGACATCTTTATGTTCACACTCATCTGACGCAGCCAGAGATTCACAGGAAGGACCTGTACATTTAGAAAACATATTGGGGAAAAAAAGACCAGAAAAGATTAAAAATAATAATAAAAATAAAATAAATACATGAATTTTTTTCTCTTAAAAAAAGCTGAAAAAAAATCCTGCTAGTGATTTCAGTTTTTGAACAACTCACTCATTTCCTCTTCTGTTTTTTCCTCCACATTCTGCTGTTTGATTGGTGTGTTTCTTTCCACGTCTCTGGTTTTTACAGTGACTTTAGATTTTGGCATGTTAGGAGGATTGTCTCCTTCTTTCTCATTCCCACAGTTTGCTGACTGTGCATCTCCTCTCTCTGCTGAGCCTTCTGTACAAAAGACAAAATGTTACCAAAAAGTGAAATTAATACACACATAAATAAAGTATTTACTATTTTCCATTAGGAGAATTGTGGGAAATATCACCTTTAATAACACACTTGTCAGTGTGGTTAGAGGCAACAGCAGGTACAGCTTCAGATTCCATTCCTCCCGTTTCCATTTCTTCTTCCTCTTCTTCATTCCCAGCATCTTCTGAGTTTACAACCTCGTTTTCATGTCCAGACCCGACCTTCTCTTCAGCTCTCTGCTCTGTTTTCACTGCCAGCTCCCCTCTGCTTAGAAACTGGTCCTTATCTTCAACAATATCTCCCCCAGCTTCTTGATAGGGATAACAATGCATTAGATTTATGCATGTACACTTTATAATTATTTGTAATTACTATTAGTAGAATCAAATAATTTCTCAAAATAGTTTTCAAGTTAGCAGCACTCAAACTGTGTGGTCTTCTGCTGTTGCAGTTCATCTGTTTCACTGTTTGGTGTTCAGAGATGCTCTTGTGCATACCCTGATTGCAATTAGTCATTATTTGAGTTACTGTTACTGTCTTTCTATCAGCACAAAGCAATCTGGTCATTTTTCTTTGACCTCATTTTACACCAGAGAACTGCTGCTCACTTTCTCTTTTTAGGACCATTCCCTGTAAACTCTACAGATGATTGTTGGGAAAACCCGAGTAGGAGATTCTGAAATATTCAGACCGGTGTAACTGACACCCACAGCCATGCCATGTTCAAAGTCACTTCCAGTTGTGGTCAGAAGTTTACAGGCACTCATTATGGCCATGAATGTCATGGTAATTATGTGCTTTGAATGATGGACTGTAGTTTTTCCCGCTTGAAACGATTGTACATCAAACATTTTCCATGACTTTAAATAACAAGAATTGTTAGTGTGATTTTTTTTTTTGCACTTTCTCCAATCCACATAAGATCTGTGACTCTTAGGTAATTTGACTTCTTTGTATTTAGCACTTTTTTTACTCAACTTATACAACATACCTCATTTATGCAAGCACTTTGCTCTATGCTTTTTCTATCTAAGCGCTTTCTTTAAAACATTGAGCAACTTGGGGTTCAGTATCTTGATCGGTATGCAGACTGGAGCAGCAAGGGACTGAACTACAAACTTCAGATTAGGAGATGAACTGCTCAATCTCATGAGCCACTCATTATTGGTAGCGCAGAATTGGTAGAGCTCATTTAAATGGGTTGGTTTCTTGGCTTGGACTTGGTTTCAAAAGCTTAATTTTGGCCTGATGCTCAGTTTGAAATTCAGCAGATGGTATTGACCTTGTCTGCATTCTTAAATGCATGTTGAGCTTCTCCCATGTCTCCCAGTCTCCCGTGACTGGCTGATTATATCTTTACAACAACGAACACTGGAATAGGTATACTGAATTAAGTGACTCATCGGTGTACTTTGGAGAGCAAAACTATTCATTTGAAACGACACCTGATGTCTTTTAATCGCAAAGACATCTACAACTATTCAAAGAGCAGACAGTTTAGCTGTGTGCCTATAACATTTGTAAATCCTAACACTGGGAAAAGCTGTTCATTTGTGGGCGGGAAACCAGTCTTATGAAGGATTTCACACACTGTTATTAGAATGTTATTAGAACAATTATCATTTGAGAACTGAGCCAAAACAATTGTATTCCCTAACTCATCTAACACAATCAGAGGTTAAAAGTAAGACTTGTAATCTTAGTAGAAGTGTCTTCTACAAAAACACAAAAAAAGAAAGCCAAAACACATGCAACTCACTCAGTACTTTTGGCACAGTTTGTGTTGCCACATCTCTGGTATTTCCAGTAACTTCAGATCTCAACATGTCAAGAGAATCTTCTCTGTTTTGTTCTTTCTCATTCCCACAGTGAGTTAAATGCCCGTCTTCTCTGTCCTCCATCCTTGCATCTTTGCAAAAGTCAACATGTCAATTAATCAAATATATGAAAAAATGCACAGTGGCTATTAAATATTTATTTGATGTTAAACTGTTTTAATACCAGAGTTTAAGACACTGGATTCAGTTTTATTCACTATCCCCAAAGATGTGGAAGCTTCCTGTTCTTTTCTTTCACTGCTTTGTGTTAACTGGTCTTCACTGCCTTCCCCATCACTCCCGTTGATGGATAGGTCATATTTGTTTGAGGGAGTAATCAGTTTCGCTGCTGCAGTGGTTGTGTTAACTTTTGCTGAGCTGCTGCACTCTCCTGGATGGTCCATCCCCTCGGGGTGATAAGCACCTGTTCCCTGAGGCAAAATTAAACATTTAAATTAGATTTACATTTACAAGAACAGATAGTCATTTTTAAATTATTTGTCCTAAATCAGTGACATGGCAGAAACTGACAAATCCCCTCTGAAATAATGGAAAACTTACATTTGCTGTCTTTATTTCTTTCCCCCTCAGTGCATGTTCCGCAGCAGCTGAAATTGTATGTTTTGTTGTCCTCTCTGAAAAGAGAAGAGTGATTTTCATACACAGACACTTTTTGTTAGGTTAGTTACATGTCAATAGGAAATAACATCATTTAATTAATAACACTTTTGTCAGTATGGGGCAACAGCAGATACAGTCTCATCTTCTGTTTCTCCCTCTGCCTGTTTCTCTTCATCTTCTTCACTCCCAGCATTTTCAGCTTCTACTCTCTCTGCTCTGTTTCCACGAGCATTTCCTCACTGTTTGAAAGCTGGTCTTTACCTTCAGCATTATCATCTTCAGTTTCTTCAGAGCCGGATGATTGTATTTCCTTTTGATTCAAGGTTCAGGAAAAATGACCTTTAATTATCATTCTCAGTGTTGTTTTAATTCATTTTTGAAAATCAGAATTACAGTGCTCTCATGCTCAGATACCTTTCTAGTCTTGGATCTTCCTTTTCTGTATCCCTCGGTTTTTAGGTAATCTTTCTGTGAAAAGTTAGTTTGACGGTTTATTTAGTGAAATCTGATTTTCTTTGATTAATAGAAATGGGAAAAAAGTACCTTAATCCAATACTCCAGAGGTTGATCGTCATAGAAAATAGTTGCTTTCCATTTTTTACTTGATCCTTTCCCTGCAAGTATCTCAAAGCTAGGTGGATTATACCATTTGCCTTTATATTCAATACACGCCTTACCTAAATTGATCATCCAAACACACAGGAAAATTCAAATTAAATTAGAAAAGAACACTTAAAAAAGTAAAGCTAACTTTTGACAAGTTAACATTTGATCCTCTTTAAAACAGTGCACATTGTTTAAAATTGTATATTTGAACAGCACAAGGAACATGCTTTCTCTTTATTTTCTTGTCAATCTTTAAAGATGTTCTAAATATTCGCACCTGATCTGCAATCCAGTCTAAGGTTTAGAGATTATTATTTGTATTATTTTAATGTAGGTTTGTATTTACTTTTCCCAAATGACTGATGGAGAGCTATGTTTCACAGCTGTCATGGGATGGGGGGAAGGCAATTCAGAATCACCAGTGAACCATTCATGCATTCATGCATTAATGCATTCATTCAGCTGGAGAGAAAGTTAAGTTCCATTTTTTATATACATGATTTTTATTTGTGGGCACAGTTTCAAACAGTATAAAGTGTTTTCTTGTTTAATGGTTTCCATGAAATGTGCTTATGCTTCTCAGATAATTGTATTTGCTTACTTTTTTCCAGCTTCTCACAATCAAGGATGCCCTCTGTGGTTCCACAGATTACAGACAAAAACGCTAAATTTTGGGAAAAAAATTACAACAACTATAATAATAACAATGTCTCCATAATAAAATATTATGAATGTATATTTATGCCATAAAATTAGAGAAACATATTCAACTAAGAACTTACGTATCCCTTCTGTCTTCCAGGTTTTTCGATTCTCCTCTTCCTCCTCCTCCTCCTCATCTTCACCATCAGAAGTTTCATTGTATTCAACTCTCCATCTTTTCCTTAATCTACAGTCTTCTTGGTTTTCCTCTTCCACAGATCTTTTCCTCTCCATTTATTTTTCAAAACTGAAAATATAGTCTTCCTAAACAGATTTCAGGGTAATCATTGATTTGTGTCAAAAGGTCTTCCCACCCAAAACAACATGTGTGAGCCCTTACCCGAGCGACATGATCATAAAAAGAAATAGCACAACTGAATACTGAATTCTTTGTTCATCTTTTGTTGTGCGAGAGACGAAAAATGTTTGCTGACCACCGCACAGATCTCGAGTTCAGCTCATACCGATACTAATAGTTTGGTCCTGAAAACAGTTCTCAGTATTAACATTTTGAGGATTTGTCATTGTGGTCTGACGACACAGTTTTCATGTCTTGTTTTATTTCAGTTTAGACTTCATTTGACAAAACTCATTGTAACTTTCAAATCAGTCAGTTAATCAGATAGATGACAGATAGATATGTCTTCTGTTTTTCAAAAAGATGCACAACACCATTGACTTGTTAAAATATTTTGTAAATTTTATATATATTAAAATGTAATCTTCCATTACTTTTTAACACATCCGACTTTATTTGAATTCCTTAGTGCAATATAATCGCGAATTAACTTAAAGAACACATCAGCTTGGATTAGCTGCTTTCTCAGTTGTTTTCAGTGCCGTCCTTGTGCCTGAATATTTCAGAGGGATGTTTCTTTTAGATTGTTAGGCCCCTTAACACTGACCTATGAATCATTCAAGCATTAAAAACACACCTAACTCGAGGGACTTATATATACAGTGTTGTCTAAATAACACTGTATATATAACAAATAACTTAGCAAGGAACCAGTATTAAATTGTATCTTTAGGTACTTTGTTACTAGCAGCCTGTCACAAAAACATACGATTTCTTCCAATTTCTTTAGTGGAATCTCTGAAAAATGCCACAGATAACACAGTTTGACAGGAATTTTCTTTTTTATTGTAAACCAACTGATGTCCAAAGAGCTATTAGCTGAAAACTTGACATATCTCTGCATGACGTGTCCTGGCTCAAGACTTTTGCACAACACTGTAACTCTCCTTTATTTATTTCACATTTTGTCAATATGGCTGGACAAATTTGTATGAAAATGTTTTTTTTGTTTTGTCTAACTTCTTTAGAACAGTTATATCCATCTGTCACAGACATGATTGATATATTACTCGCAATGCTTCAAAGTCAAAGCACACCTCTTGTTTTTCTCTTGCAAATTTAAATCTGAAGACCTGACACGAACTGCTGTCAACACACTAAACACTTTACATAATGTAAATACAATAAAAGTAAAAAGTGAAATACACTATGGGGACAAAAGTTCTGGTCCACCTACTCATTATTCCTACAGGAGCTGCTCATGACATAGAAACCCACGTCAACAGTTTTATCAAGATGTTAATACCAGAGGATGCTTACTCTATTATTGATAAGCAAAATTTGGCCACTTTTATGCACCTCGGCGACTCCACTCCGTGCGACACCTTGTGGCCAAGGCGAGAAAAAGTGACTTCTTAGTGACTGCTTCACAGTGGCATATACAGTGGGGCAAAAAAGTATTTAGTCAGCCACCGATTGTGCAAGTTCCCCCAC